TTTATCATAAAGACATTGGTACTAGATTGTTTATGACAGTTCAATTTACAGTCACTAAGATGTGAAAACAACCTGAATCCTCACCAACCCAGGAATAGATTAACAAGCTGTGGTATATGTACACCCTGGAATACTATTCAGCCATTAAAAAAGATGGAGACTTTACATCTTTTGTATTAACCTGGATGAAGTTGAAACACATTCTTCTCAGTAAAGTATCACAAGAATGGAAAAACAAGTATCCAATGTACTCAATACTAATATGAAGCCAGTAGACAACCTAATTTTTGCTCACATAGGAGAAAAACTCATTTCAATTCAAGTTAGGGGGAGAGGGAATGAAGGAGAGGGGAAAAGGAGGGTAAGTATGCTCCCACTGAATAGGCACAATGTAGGGGTGTCTGGCACACCTTTTGGGTGTGGAAAAAACTACAAAAGGGACTCTACTTGACAAACTCAAATATTGTGACCTGGTTGTTTGTACTCTCCCATTAACCTGAAATTTAAAAAAAAAAAGGAAGAAAGAAAGAAATCAATACTAACAGAAAGAGTCATGGCTGCCAGCAATTTGGGCACACAGTAAGAATTCTAAATAAGGAGTTTTTCTCTCTCCTTTGAGAAGTGATATTTTACTTTTACTGAAGGATTTTCATCACTGGCTTTTTGAGTCTTTGACGGCACTGGATTCCACTCAAAGCAGCATGTATTTAATTTTAATTCCTGTGATTTACACAACATGTTGCCCCATGCTGGGGATTAACCAGGTTTCCATGGGCACACACCAAAATAGATCTGAGAGTGATTTTCTGTTGCATTTGCACACAAAAGCCAACCTGAAATTGGCTTAAACATGAAATTCTTCAATCATGTATTTTCCATTCAAACCTCTATGCTATGTTTCCTTGTGTCTTCAGAAATTTTCACAAAATAAATGTCTGAGGCCATCTGACTTTTTAAAATCTACTTCCACATAATCTATTTGTTTTCAGACCAGATGCTGATAGGAGACTATTTGCTCAACCTTTTATTTCTGAAGTTTGTTAGCACGTCTATTTTTGCTTTTTTCAGAAATTTAATCAGTATCATTAGGTAATCAGCCAAGTTAAAAAGGTTTTCTTTCATCATGTCTTTCGTTATGGACGTTATGACAATTCATCTGCTTTCTTCTCCAGAAACACAATAATTCTTGGATTTACTTTCTGTTCACTGTCAACTGCCCTCTTATTTTTCCTATGTATTTTGAGAGAAACACTTATATACACCCGATTCACCTCAATTTTCCAATGTCTCAGTTTCTTTGCTGCCTTCAAAATCTTAAATTTTTTATTGCCTTTTTAGTTCCATAGCAGTCTTCTTAAATCTCATTCAGTTCTTACACATATCATCACAGTTTATCTTCAAGAATTTACACTTCAGTTCCATAGATGTCATCTCTTCTAAATCCTATTAATCATGCCCCTAAAAAATGTTCTAGAATTTTCTTCCAGGTCTTGCCATGTATCATGTTATGCACTCTCTCTCTCTCTTACTCTCTCTTTCTCTGTAGTTTTCTTATTCAGCACTTAATATTGTTTAACAATCCTGTATTTTTCCCACTTATTCCCATTTATTTAGTTTTGAGCATAGAATGATCTATTCAGAACCTATGTGTGTCAACAAAGGCTATGTGACTTTCTGTCGGCACTGCTGTTGTGCATCTGGTTGCTGTCGAATCCTTTTCACCCACCTGTAGCTAAAAATTTGTTTGCTGCACATGATGGATAATATTATTTAAAGGGAAATCTATTATTATCAGAATATGGGGATTTATGAATCAAATATTATGTATAATGGAGTTCATTTATAAGCATTATTTTTATTAAGTAAAAAGGAAAAATTGGGATTTCTTTGAGTAAAAAAGAGGACAAGAAAATGGATTTGGGAAACTAAGAGCACAGGATGAGTGATGTGGCTGAAGCACATGTTCAGAGCTGGCACCCCATGGTGGAGCAAAGCGGTCACTGAGTCCACTGCACCAGCTTCCTCCTCTGCTGCCCCAGTTGGACTTCGGCCTGAGGTTAATGGCATTCTCATGTTTTCATATACCACACATGAAAAAGAAGTAAACAGCAATTAGAGATGAAGCAACATATGATCTGGCCTGGTCCAGCTCAAGGAAAACACTGGGCATGAGTTTGAGGGAGAGTATTCATCAAACATCACATGAAACCAGGAGAACTCGGGCTGAAATATGCAGAACACACAGTCTGTGAACTAGAGAGACCATGGGTGCCATACAGCCAGAGTTCTCAGTCAGCACAAAGCAACTGGTTGCTTTTGAATCTACATTGCCTCATTTGTTCTACCTATTGACATTGCTGGATGGAAGGAATCTTGAACTGAAAAAAAAGGATTTTATTCTCCTGGTGATTTTCCTGCTCTGGTGGGGTTTCTAGCAATCACAGCAGCTTCCTGACTTGTGTGTTCGTCCTGCCTCTGGCTGCCATATTGCAACGTCAGTCTTGCTGCCATGAAAAGTGACAAATCAAGAGCTCCCAATTTTGAGCATAATTCCCAGTGCCTCATGGGCTTCCATTAATTATACCTCTGCTGGGCTAGGGAAGAATCCTGTCCTCCCTGTACAGCCTGGCTCTGTGACACTCTGAACTGAAAGGGTAGATGCAGGGTAGAAACCACAAACCCTGATACCAGGGATTTTCCTGTTCTTGGTTCCACCAAAAATATTTCACTTGTGATGACGAAACTGCCTAGGATGGAAAAAGCCAATGCCTGTCCTCATAAGTCAATTGCGGAGTTTCACTCAGTCTTCAAATGGCTGCGTAAAAAAACTGGTAAGAAAGACAGAGTTGGGGAGAAAGGAGTGAGTACAAGAGAGATAGATGTCCAGAATTTAGGTTGGCAGAGGTCTTGTGTCTCTGAACTCAGAGGAAGGCAGTAAGTAGTGGGAGGAACCAAGGCAGACTGGGCCACAGGTGAGCCCTCGACTGTGCCTCCCCATCCAGCCCCATTAACCTGGAGGCAGCAGAAATTTCTTTCATATTCTGAGGATCGGTTTGCTGTCACTCTTAGGTTTAATCATTGCTGTGAGGTTTTATCTTTTTATCTGTCTTGATATGAAATTACCATGGAAATTTGGGAGAAATTATTACTGGGGCTAATATATTTTTCCTGTGTAATTGAGAGGAATTGTTAGTTTCATGAAATCTGTATTTTTATATCTTTGGATGAAAGTTTTAAAGTTAGTTATATCACTAAAAAAAGTCACTGGGCAATATATTATATGCTTTTTAGCTAATAGCAAAAGTGCTTTATTTGCTAAGAATAAACATTCTGATCATAGGTTAGTAAAGAATGTGTTTACTGATTTACATAAAGATTTAAGAATCTTACTCTTTCTCCCTATTACAAACAGATATGTTTTTGCTGTCATGCCTCAAACTCTGAGAAATCTCAATAAAAATGAAAAAAGAAATGCCAGACAGTGCAGACCAACATGCAGGTCATGGTTACCCAGCTCAGCATCCTGATGCCCAGTCAAGAATGAAATGAGCCCTGCAAACATCAGCCCCAAAGGAACCCTGGGAGACACTAAGCTGAGTGTCTATTATCTGAGATAAATTAGTCCCAAGAGACATGCATTCTGGGAAAAGAACTGACTAAACTGCTTCACATTACCAGTGACAACTTTCTTAGACCATAAATGAGTTTCAATAATGAGAAGGCTGCAGGAGGAAGGTAGAACTTGTCTGTCACAACACAAAGAAATCAGTAGGGTAGGAGAGAGCGGGGGAGGAGGCCAGCATCGGAGCAGGTGCAGTGAACCTGTCGCTGTCTACAAACCCTGCTAGAGCCACACAGTAGCAGTTGGGAGGAGAGTCATAGGCGGAGCAGGAAAACTGGGCCACAACCAAGACCAGAAATTTGCTTCCACAGAAAAGAGACTGACTCAGAAGGGACTTGAGTTATACATGTTGTGGTCATTCCAGAGCACTCAGCTAAGGCAAAAATCAAGAGCTCAGCCTGCCCTAGCAGAGAACACCAGTCCCAACTCTAGAGTGGAACACTCAGGCTTCAGGCTTCAGCAGACTGACAGGCGTTTCCAGGTGCATCATGCCCGCCCAGGTTTGCTCCAACAAAGTGACCAGGCATGAGGCCTCTGGGAGGACACATTGGTGCAGAAGGCAGAAGGAGCAGAACAAGGAGCCCTGCAGTCCACCAGAATGGCAGCCCTGCTCTCTCCACCTGGTATATTGGAGTAACGAGCTACAGACGGGGATTCTTTGAGGAAGGGGGTGAAGAAAAGACAGAGGGGAAGGCTCGATGATGGGGCCTTGGGGAACTCAATGAGGAAAACTGAGACTAATCTCCTCTAAATCCAAATATCGTTCTCCTGCTCTGTGCAAAATGAGTGCTGGTTGGGGGATTACATATCTTGATCTATTGCTTACATACACCCAAGCCCTAGTTTCTTCCAAGTGCAAAGACCTCACAGGGCCTAAGAGGCAGAGGCAGAGTATCTTGTTCAGTGATGACCATGATTCCAACCACCCTAAAGATAGAGCGGAGTTTCCAAAATACCGTCCAGTCAAACATTTTCTCTTACCACCCATAGACGTTGTTTCTGAGTTGATCATCTCTCAGAATGGGTCTAATGACCTGAACTTGCAGGCTTCCTTCTCAAAGAAGTAAGTAAATAAAACCAAAACCATCCTGAACTGTGTCGACCTTCATGTCACAGAGGGTGAATTTATACACTTGAAAGTTTAGGGTGGGGAGAGGTTAGGGAGGGAGCAAGCACCCGTCAATACCAACACACTTGGATGAAAAGCAGCAGAGTAAGAGAAAGGTCAGGACGAGCACCAGCTGATGGCTGGGGAAAGGGAGCAGGGGACTGTACAGGTCAGCTTTAAATTGTGGCAAAAAACGTGCCCATGTTATGTCAGGGGAAGAGTGAATTGCCACTTTCCTCCAGCTCCCAAGTACTAGAGAGTATGCCCCTTTCAGGGAGAGCAGACCCTGCCATAAAAAAGAATTGTTTGGGTTTTGTTGTGTCTGATGAGAAAGAGAAAAGGGTGGTTGGCATTAAATTCCACCAAAGACGGCGCTGACTTTCCCGGGCCGACAGCCCCGCTGGCTGCAGCTGGCTGTGTACCATTCTCATCCACCTCTAAAAAGGTCTTGTGAACAATTTTTGACAAACACAAATTGGGAGTTGGAGAAATTCCAGTAAGATCAGCCTTTGTTTCATCAAAGATATCGACGATTCCCATGTCTTCTAGAACAGAATTGAGATCGTAGCTGTCTTCCAGGGTGAACTGGGGGAGGGAGACAGCTACCATTTTTTCAGACATGTTTTCTGAGTTGCTCCAGGCCACTATGTGTTCATAGGTGATCTTCCTTTCCAGCTACAAGAGAAAGGAAGTAACATTTAGGGTCAGATTATGAGCCTGCAAGGAATGCCCCAATTGCTTTAAGGTGCCTGGGTCTATTTCTGCTGTCAATGACAATCTTTACCACTTTCTCTGGGCCTCAGAATAGCCTGATTCCATTTAAAACTCCTCCAAACAAACATCTCTCCTCTTTAAAAGAAGTTATGGGAAAATTTGAGTTCCAGCACTCTTTGGTATTTGACAGACCAATGTTCAAAGCCCAGCAAAGCTCACGTGAATAGTTGGGTGCCTTAGCCACGCCCACACATTCTGAAGTTAAATTTCCTATTCTAGAAAACAGAGGTAATACTATTAGGCACTTGCAAGGACTAAGAAAATGATGTATGTAAAGCAGTTAACACAGCGCAGGCACATAGTAAGTACTGAACGATGATCGTTATTGATGTAACTACTAGAACTGCTATATAGGCATTTCTTTTTTTTTTTTTTAAAGACAGAGTCTCACTTTATTGCCCTCAGTAGAGTGCTATGGCATCACAACTCACAGCAACCTCCAACTCCTGGGCTTAGGCGATTCTCTTGCCTCAGCCTCACAAGTAGCTGGGACTACAGGCACCTGCCACAACGCCCGGCTATTTTTTTGTTGCAGTTTGGCCGGGGCCGGGTTTGAACCTACCACCCTCAATATATGGGGCCGGCGCCCTACCCACTGAGCCACAGGCCCACCCTGTATAGGTATTTCTTTCACTTTCTTTCTCCCACTATCTCTATCTCTTTACCCCATTGGATAACATGTGACTGAGCTTCTCTAGCCTCCATCAATTCCCACCTCACAGTCAATCTAGTCCACTGTTAATATCCACATTTCTGTCAAGGTACATGCACCCCAAACAAGATCCAGCTAAAGGGTCTTTACCTGAGTGACTGAAAAATAGTCTGAGTACATAACCAGAAATCAGGATATTCAGGGGGAAGGAAAAGCTATTTTATTTTTAGTAATTTTTCAAGTTGCTCAGAACCCAGATCCCTTGGTTTGGAAAAATGGTTGCAGAGACCATGAGAGTAGAGAGGAAATGCTGATTCTAATCTTTTTGGCATTTGTTCTTTAGTCTTAACAAATGAGGAATAAATATCTTATTTAATTCTGGTCCTTATATATTCTTTGCTATCTCTGATAGCTCAGGTTCCATGCAGGTACCACACTTCCTCGGCGCAGTAGATGGCCGATGGTGTTCTCCTCCAAAGATCTGTACCTGAACGAGTCATAGAGACTTGGAAATGAAGACTTGCCTCTTCCAGCCCCTTCAGGTTGTCATCCGAGTAAGACGGCAGCAGGACGAGCATGCTGAGCTCCCCCTTGGAGCATCTCATCTCAAGGACGTGTGCGATCAGCTCCTCCAAGAAGGCAAGCTTGTGCAGACCTGTGTGAGTCATCATCTTTACATTCTTCTTTTCCTTCTGCAGAAGACAAGGGAGGGCGTCACGGGACTGCCATGGAAGCACCCAACTCACATGGCCCCAACTCTCCTGAGAGCAGAGCTGCTATAAGATAAGAATGGTCTGCACCAGAAGCCCTGAGCCAGACCAGTGATGGGCCTGAGAGAGTTTGCCGTCTGATCTGTCTGCCATAATGGTGCCAATACTTTATCGCTCTGTGTTTTTAATCAATTGTTCAGCAAGACTACTGCTGACCGGCTTTCTATCCAAGCATCCCCCACAGCCTCATCAGCAGAAATGAGCCCTGCCTGCCAGCTGGCCCTCTCTAATGCCTGTGCCACCTGCCTCTTGCTCCCACCACCATCTCCACCCCTACTCCCATCTTCTCACTCCTGGATGAACCCACCCCAGCATCAATGGGAGCCCTGGTAAACAATAATCATCTGCATATTAAATAATAGCGCCTGCTCCATACCCATCCTTCAGGTGCCTTAAACCCCACAGTGACCTGCAGGTGGAAGGTGAGGGGTCATCAGTCTGCAGCTGAGGATCTTTAACCTTTTGAGAGAAAACTTGGCCCCGGCAACAAGCTAACTCTTATCTTTTCCTCCCATTCTAGGCCTCACAGAAGTGAATCCTAATCACAAACTTGCTTAACTAATTTAGCCTGTGCATTTTCCCGCTTCCAATTCTAAGTGGAAATAATTGAATAATGAATGTAAAAATGTGCAGTGTGGTAGGCATTTGGCACAAAAATGTCCAAGGAACTTCACGTGCTGACTTTTGTTAATAGCAAAATGTTCTTATTGTAAGTGTAAGCTGGAATTAAGAGCGCTAAGTTTTACTCCCTGTAGAAATTACAAGTTGCATAGCTGGAAGACCATGAGTTGGAACACGGTACCTCATTTACCACAATACTTTTTTTTTTTTTTTTGCAGTTTTTGGCCGGGTTTGAACCCACCACCCTTGGCATATGGGGCCAGTGCCCTACTCCTTGAGCCACAGGCGCCGCCCTCACAGTACCTCATTTAGAGAGAAAAGTGCATCAACTGTGTTTTCAGAGTCAAAATAATTTTCCCATTTGGGCTTAAAGTAAACGGCATTCACCAGCACCAGCACGGTGGTGTCATTGATAGTGTCCTTGCTGAAGAGGTCCTTGATTTTACCTAAAGGAAAGGTCCCAGAGAACATCCTCAGTATAGTTGTATCAAAAGTATTCATGTAGACAGATTTTCTTTAATGCATTTTAACAGCCCCCCCAAGCTAGAAAGTGTCTAATCCAAGAACTAACCCAAGAAGATTAAGCCCCTGATTCTGCTAGGTTGGGGAAGTGGAGGGGAGTGTTGGGGGGATGGGAGAGGAGGAGCACTCTCCTTTAACCCCACAGAGACAGAGTGTGTGAACATCATCTGCACTTTAAATGCTCTTATGCTCTGAACTCACTAAGGAGAAGCTACATCCTCAAGCCTTAGGAAGAACTTTCATGAACTGTTTTACTCTTGACACCTGAGTGGAGCTTGAAGGGGTGGGAGTTGTGGTGAAATGTGGAGGAAGGAAGAACAGATAATGTAGGAATTTGGGGACTTCTTCCAGGGAGTGGACAGACAAGGGCATCCGGCCCTAAGTCAGCGTGAGGAGGGTAGGGGACAGGGAGAGGAAGACACCAATGGGAAGAGAGTGGCAGAAAGTGCTGCACCCATGCCAGAGACAAACCAGAGTCAGCCAGATATTGTCCCCAGGCCACCAGTCCCTCTGAACTGTGTCGATGCCTGGTGGAGGCCCTATTCTGAACGCAGGGGAAGCAACGTACCACCTGCCCGCTCATGTACTCCAAGCTTTTCAATTGCATCGGAAATTCTCCCCCAGCTCCACAATGGCAAATTGAAAAATGCTCTACTTTGTGTCCAGCAGCGCGACTTGCCCCTTCAGGTCACTAACCCTTAAGCCAATGGGGAAGACTATTCTGCTTTTCAAACTCACCTCTGCAGTGATGGAAGGAACACTCTCCAAGCCCCCCCCTGCTCGTCCCCTCCCTTCTCCACAGGAGGCCAACAAGACCACAAACCAAAGGAGCCACAATAAGCAACAGTCATATCTAAGCCTATTAACGCCTGATGCCGTTCAAATCAGACTTTAACCAGAGTCTGCGTGTGTAAACCTCTGGCCCCCAAACACTAGCAATCTGAAGAGCTGGGCTTCCTGTTTCTTCATGTAAAAGAAAAGAACACCAGTTACAACGTGTTCCATCTCTCTTACCTTGAGATTGAGATTCAACCCAGTAGTTAATCTCTTGTCTGGACTTTTCAGAGTTTCTCTGGAAATCAACACTTTCAATTGTTGTGTGGTAAAACTGAATCACACCATCTGTATATGCCTGTTCAGTTGATGAGGGGAAATAGGGCAATAAATTTTAGTGACAGTAGTAAGTTAAGAGTGAGGCGGTCTTGAGAAGCCTCCTGAAACAGATGAGCCTGATTATTTAATGTTGGTGGAATAGGCATATCAGTTTCAACCTGGCTCCTGTCTTATTTTAGCCAGAACCATTTCTGCCCTTGTGTTGACAATTCAGGATATAAACTTTGTACTCACAATACCTCAGGGGTTACAATGGCATGAGCCTTTCCCACTAGATATCATTGTATTTGAACAATCCATTTGTGGAGGCACCACAGGAAATATCAAGTCACCCGAGAGGCCCGGCCGTAAAACACTTCTGTTTTTAGGAACTAAAACCTCGCTTCATAGTTGCAGAGTTTTCATTTGGGGTGATGAAAAAGTTGCAGAAATAGTTAGGGTGATGGTGACACAACATTGTGAATGTAATTAATGCCACTGAATGATTTACTTACAAATGGTTAAAATGAAAAATTTATGTTATATGTATTTTACCAGAATTTTAAAAAAAACAAATAATGCAATATATCAAAACCATTCATTTGTACACTTTTAATAGGTAAATTGTATGATGTACAAATTCATATTTTTTTTAAAAAAAAAAAAAGCTGGTTGGAAGGCCAGGCATGGTTGCTTACACCTGTAATCCTAGTAGTCAGGGAGAACAAGGCTGGTAGAGTTCAAGACCAACTTAAACAAGAGTGAGACCCCGCCTCCACTAAAAACAGAAAAACTAGCCAGGCATCATGGCAGGTGTCTGTAGTCCCAGCTACTTTGGAGACTAAGGCAAGACGATTGCTTGAGCCCAAAAGTTTGAGGTTGCTGTGAGCTATGATGATGCCACAGCACTCTACCCAGGGTGACAAAGTGAGACTTTGTCTCAAAAATAAATAAATGAATTAATTAAATAAAAAATCTTGTTGGGGGGGGCAAAAAGCTCAGTAGAGAACTCTAATTTTTATTTTAAGAGAACACACTTATTTTGGTCAGAAGTAGGCTATCCCTGTCCCTGGCTATCCAGCCCTAACCAGCTGTGCTGAGGCTTGGTCATTGGTCAAGCTAATGCTTATTGCTGTGTGACTCTTCTGGGGATTAGAGGGAAAGCTGGAGCCTAGACAGAGACATGACTGGATCTAGGTATAACGCTGTTTAGCCACGGAGACAAACCCTTTGCCTTTTATTCTAAATAGCAAAATCCAGTCTCCTGCTACAGCACTCTACTCAGAAAAAGCACAGTGAGTGCAATTTTACTGACATAAAAGGTGATTCTAGAGAAGCGCCCCAGGGCAGCCAACAGGGAGGGGGTGTTCAATGTACATGTACCAGACACCTTGACAGGGAAAGAAAGTCAAGAAAAAGGGCCATCACCAGCCCCCACATGTCCCAACACTGTCCCTCCTAAGACTCCGTCTCACCCACTTTATTCTGCTCTTCACAGACCTCAAAAGCTGCTCAAGTTGAAAACTGGGAGGAGTGAAACAGAAGCAGGGGACTGAAAGAGTAGGTCCTGGACACCCCCAGTCCCCAGCAGGTCATCCTGTCCGAAGGCTTTGTGTTCTGGGCAGCAGGTGAGTAATCCAGATACTCACTTGTTTCTAAATCATACGCTCTGTGGTAACGTTAATCACCAGTGTGTGCAACTCACCGGATGGATTGGGAATTCCTGCTCCCCATAAAGCCTGTTGGCAATGCTCAGGGTACAATCGGTTTTGGCCCTGTCTAATTTGCAGAGAAGCTTCCCGAAGTAGCAGCTGAGCAGTGCACTCTCATCCTTTGAGGTCCCAGCCTAACAAAAGAAGAAACAAACGTGGCCTTTCACGTGTCTATCAGAAGAGCTAAGCCCCACTAAGGGATGGGTATTTTGTACAGAGGCAAGACAGGGCCGCTTAGTAAAGTATTTTTTCTCTCCCTTCCCAGGTAAGGAAGCGAGCTGAGAGGAAAGAGGAATAAAGGATGAGAAGTGGTCCCAGTGTGAGATCTTGGCTCCCACATCCAGGATCAGTGTCGTCTGGGGAAAATACATCTGGGGACTCAGCAACGCCCCCTGTATCTTAGAAGGGTACACCCTAGTTTTCTCTGTATTCAAAAAGGCATATGACAGACAATCATCTCTCCATCTCCTCTTCACCTTTCTAAGGTAGGAGCAGTGTCGCCTGGGGCATCTTTCCTGCTCCTAGTACCAGACAGCCAGTAAAAGTTGTTGGTACAGATTTCAGTTTGAATGAGAATAGGCAGAGGTGGAAGGGTAGAGTGTAAGACTTTCACAACTGAAAGTCTACTTGTTCATCTACTTGAATTGGGTGTATTATACCCCAATATTACCCCTTTCTGCCCTACGTCTTCAACCTATGGCCCGTAGGAGCAGGTGAGTAAGGTGGCTTTATTATTAAAAATATGAGTTTCTTTATCATGAACAGAAGATAGCAGATTCTACTCTTAAGGAAACTGGCTCACAGCCAAGGACATACAAGTCACATACTCAGGAATCGCAGATCACATGAGGTTATTACTGTTGATGGCAGCCGGGACCTAATGTTTGGGAAGAAGTGACCATCACCAAATATGGTACAGCCAGAATTTGTAAGAAGGAGGGACCAGAGTTCACTGCGGCTCACCTGCTCATTCGGAGTCTCTGTTGATGTTTTCTCCCCTTGCAGAAAACTGTCGGCCTGGGCCTCTTGCTTGTTGCTTTTCAGGCAGGGGTCAGGTTCTTTGCTTTCACTCTGATAAATGTCAAGGAAGTGCAGTACCTGTGTGATAACGGGATGGGGTCATTCTGACAGTGTGGACGGAGGAATCCAAGTAGTTCCAGCAACATTTTTATAAAGTGACAATGATTATACGTCAAACAAAACAGTTAATGATAGTATAAAGGAAGTGGATGCTTTTGTCCTTGGATAGAGAGGAGGAATGGAGGGGGAGTCATCAAATGCTACCCCAAAATGCACTTGTGAATAACTCTTCCCAAACTAAAAGGATTAGAGGTGTCCTTGAGACCTGGGTAGCTACTGAACACTTTATATTAAATAGATGGCCAGTCTAAATGCAAACACAAAGTACACATCAGATCTTAAAGATAGTATGGAAAGCAAAGAATGCAAAATCTCTCCTTAAAATTCTTATAGTGACTACAAATTGATATGATAGTGTTTTGTATGTATTGGGCTAATTAAAATTGATTACTAAGATTAGCCTAATTTGATTAACTCGGTTACCAAGATTTTTTTAATTACTGTATGGCTCCCATTAGATTTGTGTAGGACAGCACTATTCTAGAGGTTTGCATCAATCAAAGGAGCAGGGCAGCAAAGACAAGCTGTCTAGAGTCTTAGAGAGAGGTAGGAGACAAGTGCCACGTACTGCACTGTTCAGACCTACTTAGTTGGCAGATGACCCTCAAGTGCCTGGAGACGGAACACCTGAAACTTGACCAGACCATGCAAACCACACTCTACAGCTAAGTTTTCCAATGGAATAAGAAAATAATAATACAACCAATTCAAGTAAATGAACAATGTAGAATGACTCCAAACACTTTCTTCTGTAATCTATAAATTGGACTTCTCCATATTCAAGGGCAACAGCCTTATTTACACATAACTCTTGTGCTATATGCTAAATCCAAGAAGTGTAAGTCCAAGCTCAGGAGCTCATCGTTTACTTGGGAGTTGTTACTACCTTCATTCATTCATTCTACAAAAGTTCATTGGCTGCCCCCTCTAAGCCAAGCGCTGTTCTAGGATAAAGATCCCTGCCCTCTGGGAGATTACATTCTAGTGAAGGAGACACACAAAAAGCAATACCCAAAGTCATTAGTCACCGTTGGCAGTATGTTAGACAGTGGAAAATGACACACAAGGAAAAGTAGCAGGGATCTCTTCTGGACTGGGATCCAAGATGCATCCTAGATCAGGAGGTCGGAGTAGGCCTACTGGCAGAGGTAAACCCTGACCAAAGTCTTGAAGGGGAAAGTGAGATCAGTTATCTGGAGGAAAGACCTCGGGCAAAGGCAGTCAGAGTAAAGGCCCCAAGACAGGACAGGCACAGCTTCCCTGAGAAAGCGGGAGGACAACGTGACAGGTGCAAGGGGTGGGAGAGACCTGGAGTCACAGGGATTATCTGGGATTCCCATTCTCAGGTCTTCCTGGGCCAGGGGGAGCACTTGTTCTTCTGTGATAAGTGAAATGAGAAGTCTGGGTTTTTGAGCAGAAGAGAAACAGGATCTGACTCAGGTTTTAAAGAAATTTCAAGCTGCCGTGTTAAGAACTAACTGTCCATGGGAGCAGCAAGAAAATCCATCAGGAGGTTTCACAGGGTCCAGGTTAGAGAAGATGGTGGAAGTTCAGACCTCAGGGAGACTCTGGGAAGAGCTTGAATCCTGGATGCATTTTGAAAGAAAAGCCAGCAAAACTGACTGATAAATATGGTTCAAAGTGAGAGAGAAAGAGAAGAACGGAGGAGGACAGCAAGATCTCCAGGCCCTGGATACAAGTCTGTGCTTAAAGATTTAACGAACTGCGGGAGATAAAACCCACATGAATAATGTTCCTCCCGGTACTGGCATCAATCACGATGAGAAAGTGGGACAGCTGTGCACACAGAGATGGAGATGGAGGACCAACGAGAAAAACTGCCAGACTGGTGAGGATGGAGAAACCCACCCAGGAGGTGGGAAGTTTCATGGGACTGAAGAGACAGCAAAGTGGGGGGAACACATAGGAGGGCTCAGAGGCAGGGGCGGCTCCGAGCAAGCTCAGAGTGCGGTGAGCACCCAGGCCTCGGACCTTAGACCTGGAGTTCAGGGCCCTGTGCAGCACCTTAGTGGGTACGTACGTTGTCGATCTGATGTGCGCTGGCATGTCTAGCTCCAAAACGGACCATAGCCAGGGAAGCTGAGAGGCTCAGAGGACAGAAAAAGACATTTTTATGATAATCATCTTTGCTTATCTTGCGGAAAAGATCAAAGCAAAATTTGGTGTTTGCTGCCACGAGAACATCCATTGTGAAACTCCTAAAAGTCTAAATAAAAGAGAGAGAGAGGGAGAAGATGGTGAGTGGAGAAAAATAGGGAAACAAACAATTCTTATGTAAATATCCAAAATACAATCATACACAAGTATTCAACATCTTATTAATAACTGGGAAACTGAGATCGTTACCATCCCTATATATAACTATTGGTGTCAATATTGCTAATGATAGAGATCTCTTTTCATTTAGTGGTGTGAATTAGTTTCCTAGTGCTGCCACAGCAAATTATCATAAAACAGGTGTTTTGAACAACAAGAATTTGTTCTTCCACAGTTCTGAAGAACAGATGTCCGAAACCGAGGTGTGGGCAGAGTTGGTTTATTCTGCAGGCTCTCAGGGACGGTCTTTCTCCTGCCCCTCCCCAGTCTGTGGAGGTTGCCAGCAATCCTTGACATTCTCTGTCTTGTAGATAAATCACTCCAACCTCTGCCTCCATCTTCACATTCTTCCCTTTATCTTCTGTGTGTGTATCCAAATTTCTTCTTCTTTTAAAAGAAAGTCATCCTAAGCCAGTATGACTTCATCTTAACTTGATTACACCTGCAAAGACCCTGTTTTCAAATGAGGTCATATTCATATACTCAGGGGTTAGGACTTAAATGTATGTTTGGGGGGAACACAAGTCAACCCTCTTTGTGGTGAATTTCACCTTTATGCAGGTGAAATAAGTCAAAGGCCACCATTCTCTATGGGCAAGCTAGCGGCCAAGCAAACCTCACTCTGTCCCATCCTCCTCGGGCTATGCCTGGTTCTACAGAGGTCTTTAGCCCACACCCTCCCTTAATGTGCTGTGACCGGGGATGTGCCCAGCAGGGTATCGTGGGTCCTGACCTTTGTTAACATTCTCACTCCCTTTTGAGTCATCCCATTTGCAACCTCCCGAACTTGAGGCACTTTAGTCATTAATATTGTTCAAGAGATAATAGGTCTTGAAAGATGTCATGTGTTTATTCATCACTGGTTTTAATGTTCACTTTGACGTTGTTGAGTCAGATAATATAGGACCAAGTGAGAGAAGGACTCCCTTAGCAGCAGAGTCCTTGCGGGTGGGATATTCCAGCAGTATCGGGAGAATCCTACGTAGATTCCATTCTGGACCTCAGCATCGCAGATGAAATGTCTTTTCTTTTGTCTCTTTGCCTATTGTGTATTGTGTATTTCCAAGATAGAAATGTAAGCCTCCTTATTTGTGGTTTTATCATCAGATTTGTGGCCCATAGTAAAGATGAAGAAATAGTTATCACCTTGAATTGAATGGTGTACACTGCTTTTAACATTTTCCTCATTTAATATAGGCTTGTCTAGCCTAAAAAACTGAATTCAAAAAGGTAACATTGTGTAACGTCTTAAACAATGTGCCTGATATGTGGTAAATATTTTACCTGTATTAGCTTTCGTCTTTCAATTCTGCAAGGCAGGTATTATCCTTTCCCTCTTTTAGATCAGAAAACCGAGGAATCTAGCACACATGTAGTTGGCCTCTTTTTCCATCTCTATCTACTGCTTCTACTAAGCTTCCCCTCCAGATAGGGTAGGTTGATCTGCCACATGCCTGCTATTTACTATACTTCAACCCTGATCAACCTACAGTCCACTTTTATCTGACGCTTTTTTCTCTGCGCTAACTCACTTTGTGCCTGTGAAGCTTGGTTTGAGACATATTTTGTGCTTGAAAACTAACTTATGGCTTTCAGAGATTTTTTTCAGGAGCCATCTGCCCTACAAGGTGTTTTTTCCAAGTCATGAATATCCTTCGTATGTCTGGAAAGTCAATAATTCCTCAGACCTCAGAAAGCTGTCCTAGATGCTTGGGAAATAGCTTCATGCCCACTGTGGTTTCTCTGCCCATGGCTTGTATTAGCCGTTTAGCAACAAGTCTACTAAACAAAACCAAGTAAAGATGGTCTGAGCCGAGATGGCCTGAGATTTCATAGGCTTTTGTTTAATCATAAAATTTTATATAAAATGTAGTTGGTCGCTTCTCAGTCTTTTGGCTAAGATCAAGTGAAATGTAGTTTAATTTTTTAAAACCTTGGTCTAGGCTTGGTGCCTGTGGCTCAAGTGGCTAAGGTGCCAGCCACAAACACCTAAGGTGCGGGTTTGAATCCAGCCCGCACCTGCCAAACAACAATGATGGCTGCAATCAAAAAATAGCCGGGCGTTGTGGCGGATGCCTGTGGTCCCAGCTACTTGGGAGACTGAGGCAGGAGACTCGCTTGAGCCCAGGAGTTGGAGGTTGCTGTAAGCTGTGATGCCACAGCACTCTACCCAGGGGGACAGCTTGAGGCTCTGTCTCCAAAAACAAAAACCTTAGTCTATAGCTGAAGTTGATATTCCATTAAAATGTTCAGCATCAAAGGAGGAGAAGGGGAGGGACATCTTGGCTGGCTGTGTTTTTCGTTATTACTGAAAGAAAACCAGGCACAGACTCTATGGAAGGAAAAGAGGAGCTCGGTTGGAAAGACAGGGTGATCCCAACCTGGCTCTCCGGACAGCCCAGCCATTTGCTTGATTTCGTCTTTGCTCCCTCTGCACGTGCCCCCCTGGCCTCAGAGTGGAGCGTACTTCCTTCTGACATGAGTACGCCCAGAACTGACTGATCAGCTCTTACCTGCTCTAGAAAGAACATGACTGCTCATGTAGGTCAACTCCCTTCTTTCCAAGATTTTAAAACCAAGGGCAAATGAGGTGAAGTGACTTGCACACCCTTGTGCAGCAGGCCCAGAGCAAAGCAGGGCTAAGAGCTCTCCATGCCCAGGCCTGCTTTCCGCTGGATCAGCCTGCTGTCTGCACTCATTTCTAATTGGAACCTTGTCCTTACTCTGTGAAGTACAGAGTGCTCCCAAGCACACATGTGCATACTCTCTCTCTCTCTCTCCATTTCTGCATAAAATTTCTATAAACATTGTGAACTGCTTGTCATAAGTCTTCTGAACTGGCTGCAATGACCAGTGTGGTCGCCTAGCAACAATTCCCTCTTCTGAGCGTTTTCTAGTTACGCCCCACAGACTGGGGCTAAGCTTTCCTTACAGCTTCGTGTAGCATTAGCGCTGCCTCGTCATCTAAGGGAGAGGTGAGGATGGTAGGAACAGAAAACCGTCCGAAAGACACGGCCAGAAGGTTGCTATAAGAACAAGTGACTACATATAAGCAGGAAAGTCCTTCCTGGTTTTATATCAATGTCTAAAATATAGAAAAAAAAATAAACATTTAATCATTTGATTGAAAGGTCATCTGATAACCATGTTCTGATGGTTTGTTTGAGTTGGGGGGGGGGGGCAGTTAGTTTAAAATTGGAAACAGCCTAAATCTGGCAGTAACCTAAGGAATTCTCCCACTGGGTTGGTCACTGTCCAGGAAAGGGTGAACTGAGGGGGACACACTCTCTGCCTTTGAGAAACCCACGTCCTAAGAGAGCAGATAACGCAATGTCAGCAGTGACCGGGGTAGAATCTACAAGCCGTAGAGCAGCAAGGGGTGGACTTACGAAATGATATGGAGAAAGCAAGGGTGTACAACGTAGGAACAGTTTCTTTTCTTTTTGTTTTTTGTTTTTTGTTTTTTTTGAGACAGAGTCTCACTCAGTCACCCTGCGGTTGAATTCCCTGGCATCATAGCTCACAGCAACCCCAAACTCTTGGGCACAAGTGATTCTCTTGCCTCAGCCTCCCAAGTAGCTGGGACTATAGGTGCTTACCACAACGCCCAGCTATTTTTTAGAGACAGGGTCTCACTCTCACTCAGACTGCTCTCAAACTCCTGAGCTCAAGCAATCTACCCTCCTTGACCTCCCAGAGTGCTGGGATTACAGGTGTGAGCCACTAAGCCCAGCAGGAAGAGTTTCTTAAATAACACTTGTGAACATTTGATTATTCTAATAATACAGAGTTGAATAGGCAATTTAAAAATATGTAACACATTTAAAAACACTTTTAAGCTTTTTGCCAGATTATGGCTCATGCCTATACTCCTAGGACTTTGGAAGACCAACCCAGGTGTATTATTTAATCCCAGGAGTTTGACCCCAGCCTGGACAACATAGCAAGACCCCATCTTTATGAAAAATAGAAAAATTAGCAGGACATGATGACAGATGCGGATAGTCCCAGATACTTGGAAGGCTAAGGCAGGAGGATCAGTGGAGCCCAGGAGTTTGAGGTTGCTGTGAACCATGATGCTGCTGCTGCACTCTTGCCTGGGCAGCAGAGTAAGACCCTGTCTCCAAAAAAAAAAAAAAATACTCTTAGACAGTTTAACCATTTTTATTTATTAAAGATAAGTTTAGATCGTTAGTAAAATCCATGGTACATAATTTTATTGGAATAAAAAAATGTTAAACTTGTTTTCTCATTTTATCAAAAATCCCTTAACATTAGTACTAATTTGAAAACAGTAATGACTAACCCACAAAATTCAAATACATTAGATTTGTAAATAAGACTAACTTAGCAATAAACATAAAAGGTAGAGATCTATTAATTGCTTGAGCTCAGGAGTTCAAGACTAGCCTAAGCAAGAGTAAGACCTCATCTCTACTAAAAACAGAAAAACTGAGGCAAGAGGATCACTGGAGCCAGGAGTTTGAGGTTGCTGTGCGCAACGATGACACCATGGCACTCTACCCATGGGGACAGCATAAGACTCTGTCACAAAAAAAGAAAAGGTAGCGATCTAAACATCACAATACTAAAATATATTTTTGTTTGTTTGTTTGTTTGTTTGTTTTCTTTTTTGAGACAGAGCCTTAAGCCGAGCCCCTGGGTAGAGTGCCCTGGCTTTACTGCTCACAGCAACCTCCAACTCCTGGGCTCAAGCGAGTCTCCTGCCTCCGCCTCCCAAGTAGCTGGGATTACAGGTGCCTGCCACAACGCTCGGCTATTTTTTGGTTGCAGCCATTATTGTTGTTTGGCTGGCCCGGGCTGGATTCAAACCCGCCACCTTAGGTGTATGTGGCTGGCGCCTTAGCCGCT